ACAATTTAATTTCTAATAATATTCATGCTAGAGCATGAATAAGACATAAGGCATATAAGTGAACTTTACATGATATACTCTCCCCGTCCTAAAGTAGAAGTCGTTCTCGCTTCTCGAGAAATCAACTTTTTTTTAACTTTGACCAATTATATATAAAAGAATATTAATATTTATAATACATAATTAGTATCGTTAGATAGATCGTTGAATATATACTTTCATAATAAACTTATTTAGAGATATAAATGTTGTACGTATTTTTTACAAACCTAATCAAAGTTGAGAAAATTTGGCCTGCACATATCCCATAATGTCTTTCTCTTTGGGATGGAGGGAGTACTTATATTCTAAAAAAGCAAAAGGAGTAGCATGACAAGATGAGCAAATACAGTCCGACCAATGGAGAAGTATGCATATACAATAAGAGCTGAAAATGACAATAAAGCATAATTGAGAAACTGAAGATGCTACACATCTCAAATGCAACTAGGTGTCCCTTATTGACGAACATATGTACCATGGGTACCCTTCCTCATCATGTAAACAATTCCCCACATTTTACATGATACGTCATTCTTGCATCGTGGCAAACCTACGAGGGGGATAAGCGACGGCAACAATGTCCCCTGACAAAACTGTACTGCCACTGTATAGTAACATTGTGGCGATGTCGTCCAGTTCGCTTAAACTTACCGGTTTAGCTTATCAGTGATAGAACAGTATTTTTCTCTTACAACAAATTAGCTTTAGTTGACTTATCAGTCACAGAAACCATCAGCCGAACAGCACGATACCTCATATCCTGCATGACGTGGGTATGGGCTTCTTTCTATGGAACGCGTCAAGCAGCACAACTCGCACCATTCCTTAGGGTCGTGATGTAATCATACGTTCATATGTAATATAACCCTATGTCTTTTGGCTATATAAGGCGAGACAGGAGTTCATCTTCCACGCACTAGAAACACCCTTTCTCTCACACACACTATAACTACTACTTTCTCAAACTCTCTCACCTCTAACTGGAACCTCTGTTACAAACTTGAGCTAAAAAAATTAAATTAACTTGTGTAATTAAACTTGTGCTTGGGAACATGAATATCCCATGCTGTCGTAGAACACGTTGGCTGAACTAGTATGGTTTCTACAGTGTTGATAAAATTGAATTAACTAATAGCGATTGTATAAATTGATATTATTTTGGGAGAGACGGAGTCCTAAAATTCAAATCTAATCCCTCAACCGCTGAGACTATCAGCATCCATAAGTAGAAAGGGACATGATCCGGAGGGGCATACATACTGCGACGACGGTAGGCAGGCAGTATGTTGTCCTCATCCAGGGGGGACGAACTCTCCGAACAGTGGAAGTGGAACACTGAATCTGCAGGCAGCCGCCCGACGCCGAACCTGTCGGCCGGCTCGCGGCACGCGAGGTTGATGAGCTTGTGCATCCCACGCCGCCGAAAGACCGCAACGCAAACGCAACCATCACGCCGACGACCGACCAGCGACCACTCCTGCCACCACCGTTCCTGAGTTGCATGCAGTTCATTTTAGCTTACTCTATATCTCATCGAATATTTGAACACATACATAAAATATTAAATATACACTAAAAATAACTTATTATATAGTTTATAACTAATTTATGAGACAAATCTTTTAAGCCTAATTAATTCATGATTTGATAATATTGTGCTACAGTAACACATACGCTAATGATGAATTAATTAGACTTAATAAATTCGTCTCGCGGATTACTGATGGATTCTGTAATTTGTTTTTTATTAGTATTCGAACACCCCATACGATACCCCATGTAACATCTAAAACTTTACACCCTGAATTTAAATAAATTGTAAAAGCTAATTCAAGCCACCTAGAGGTGTCTTATCCTTTCAAAGAGGACAGACAGAATAGTCGAGATGAAGTAGAGGTACATATCGCCATTAAGTCTATAGGAAAATTCCAAATGAAGACAAAGGTATACAAACTAAAGAGCAAATCTCGTCATGAGAGCAAAAGCAAAAGGACCGGCCTGACAATATATGAGCAAACAGTCTGAACAATAGAGAAGTATGCATATACACGTACGATAAGAGTTCAAAATGACAATAAAGCATAATTGAGAAACCGAAGATGCTACACATCTCAAATGCAACTACGTGTCCCTTATTGACGAGCAAATGTATTCTATTTATTGAGCTCCAAGGAATGTTACTTGCTAAAAGTTCTTTATTATGATGAACTGTCGGTCGCTAAAAGCTCTAACATGTTGTCGGTCGTTAAAAGTTAGACCATCGAACTTGTCTGTTGCTAAAGATAATGTCCGTCGCTGTATACATATAACGACGGCTTCATTAGTAACTGCAGGGTCCATCGCTATAACCTTTAGCAACTGATTGTTCATCGTTGTACACCTCTTTCAGCAAACTTCAAATCAGTCGTTGTTTAAAGGTTGTGGTGTAGTGCTAGTTACCCACATCAACAATGTCTATGATTCCCCACATTTGACGTGATACGTCATACCTGAATTTGTGGCGAACCTGTGGGGCGATAGATGACTGTAACAATGTATAAATGTAGCACCTACTATATAGTACTCCCTCTGTCCGCATAAACATGTAATTCTAGCCTCCATGCTATGTTCGGCAAAGAACCCATAACATGTTCGGCAAAGAATGCAACTACAGCTTCATAGAGTAGTTGTACAATGGGTTTTACTTGTACTGTCATTCATTTTTGTCCACATAGCTGTGTGTGCTCATCCGAGAGTACTAGTTCGGAGCAAATGAAAATTAGCCGAAGGTGATAGGACGTGTACCAGAGTATGGGTAAACGAGAAAATTTTCAGCTCTGCTAAGTTTGATGATAGGATGTGTACCAAAGTAGGGGTAAACGAGGCATTTTTCCGATCTGCTAAGTTTACCTCAGCGAAGCTAGGATCGAAAGCTTTTATGGACGGAGAGAGTAACACTGTGATGATACTTTCCACTAAGGGCGCGTTCGCTGGTCTGGTCAAACCAGACCAGCCGGCTAACCCCACTCACAGAACACTGTTCATCAACCAGCCGCTACAGTGTTTTTCTCTCACAAAACCAGTCAGTTTCAGCCAAATTTCAGACCAGCGAACGGGCCACCGTTGTAGCTGCTTTCACCTCGCAACAATAGGCCTGCCCGAGGAAGACTTCCACGCCACCTGACGTGCCATGACATTGGTACTAGGCCTCTCTCTGAGATGTAACACGTCAAGCGGCGCAACAACTAGCACTATTCCTTAGGGCCGTGATCATATTATTCATATGTATCCTTATGTCTCTTGGCCAAGGCAAGATAGGAGTTCATCTTTCACGCACTAGAAACACCCTTTTTTCACACACTTTAACTTCTACTTTCTCAAACTCTCTCACCTCTAGTTGGAAGTTAGAACCTCTCCTGCAAACTTGAGCTTTGGGTGCTAAGGAACATGACTAGATGTAGGATTTGTTGGTTGAACCAGTATAAATTTATATAGTGTTGATAAAATTCAAGAGAGTTTAAATTAACTCATAGTGATTGTAGAAATTGATATTATTTTGGGAGAGACGGAGTCCTAAAAATCAAATCTAATCCCTCCACCGCTCAGGCTATCAGCATCGGCAAACCAGTCTCGGGTGCATCATGCATGCATGATTATCAGCATCCATGATTATCTACTTAAGTAGAAAGGGGATATGATCCGGAGGGGCATACATACTGCGACGGCACACGGCAGGCAGTAGTATGTTGTTCTCATGCAGGGGGGGACGAACGAACTCTCCAAACAGTGGAATGGAACACTGAACCTGCAGGCAGCCGCCAGCCGCCCGACGCCGAACCTGTCGGCCGGCTCGCGGCACGCGAGGTCGATGAGCATGAGCTTGGGCAAGCCAAAAGGCGACCAACGACCACGCACCGGCATCCCACACCGCCGAAAGACCGCAACGCAAACGCAACCATCACGCCGGCGACCGACCAGCGACCACTCCTGCCACCACCGTTCCTGAAATGCATGCAGTTCATTCGTATGTTCGTACCCCTGCTGCGCAACCGCACGTCACGTCTGCACCGCCGCCCACATACAGCGCACCCGCACCGGCGGCCGGGGTCCAGGATCTCTCGGGCAACCACTCGTGATCCCCAAGCCGATCTCCCTGTCGTCTCGGCTGTGTTTAGTTCGTCAAAGGAAATTTTTTTTTATGTCGCATCGGATGTTTTGAGAACGTCGAAAGAAGTTTTTTGATACTAATAAAAAACTAATTATATAGCTCGTCTGAAAACTACGAGACGAATTTATTAAGCCTAATTAATTCATCATTAGCGCATGTTAGTTACTGTAGTACTTATGGCTAATCATGGACTAATTAGTCTTAAAACATTCGTCTCGCGATTTCCACCCAAATTATACAATTAGTTTTTTTCGTCTATATTTAATACTCTATACATGTACCGCAAGATTCGATGTGACAGTTTATGTTGAAAACTTTTGGGAACTAAACCAGACCGATCACTCTCACACAACACAACCCGCCGTACGGTCACGACGACCCAGTGGCGTCTGACGGTTCATGGAATACGAGGTTCCGCGGGTACAGCTCCGGTCAAATGTGCTGCTTCGCCGAGCGAAAAAACGCACATGCTCTGCTCCTACTAAGCCATGACTCCGCCACATCGTTCAACGAACCTGCTGCGTCTGCGTCTGCGTCTGCGTCTGCGTCTGCTTAGCAAGCAACCAAGCAGCCGCCCGACTTGTATATTACCGAGCTCCCGTTCTTTGGCAGCCTTCCCTTCTTATTCTTGGACTAGCTAGTCTATCTACTGGTTTCCCTTCACCTGCTGATCGGAGAAAAGCTCTCGGAGAGATCAACTCGCTGTCTGAAATCCTGAATGAGCTTTGTGGCCGGCAGCTCTGAGGCTCAACTCTGGTTCTTGATCCCGTCGCAGCAAGCACCAGCCGCGGTACAGCCTCATCCGTTCGCCATGGACCGGAGGCCGGCGAGGAGAGGCGATCCTCACCCTCACCACCGGGGCGGCGCAATGCACGGTGCCGTCGACCAACAAAAGCAGCAGCACCGCGGCCGGCCGCAGCAGGGAACGGGGGCACCGGTGCCGGTGCCGCCCACGCCGCCGGGCTACTTCACCGCGGAGCTGGTGCTGGCGTTCCTGTTCGTGGCCGTGTCGCTGGCGTTCCTCCCGCTCGTGCTGCCACCGCTGTCGCCGCCGCCGTTCCTGCTGCTGCTGGTGCCCGTGGGCCTGCTGGCCGTGCTCCTCGCGCTCGCGTTCGTGCCGCTCGACGCGCACAGCCACCTCGCCGTCGGCTCCTCGTCCCGCTGATCCCATTCCCACCCGTACGTGGAGGTGGTGGAGAGGATTAGGCCGCCGTACATATAATTGGGCTGTTTAGAATCAGGTTAGTTTAGCGAGGATTATTTTTTGGTTGATCGAGGTATATTATATGAGTATGTCTATTATACAACCATGGGTTTTTGTGTACTTTCGACACAGAATTTTTTTTCACCATAGAATTAAGATCCAACAATCTTCGTCTTTCTTCTACCTCCAGCCTTCTTCTACCTCAAGTCTTCTTCTACCTCCAGATAATCACAAGATCACAGATCATAAGAAATAATTATTTTTCTATGTAAGGATAAAAGGACAAATCGGACGTCCGATGGGCGGTCCTCCGGCCGCACGTGTATACGCGTATAGGACGGGCTGTCCTTCAGCTGGCTGGCGCGCTGGTCCTCCGTGGAAGCCGAATTGGTCACGCCGCTGCGGGAGTGCACGAAGAAGTCGTCCTCGAGGCCGAGAAGACAGTTAAAAAAAAAGACGGAGACAGAGAGAAATTTTTTTTTGTTTGCTAAAACATATGTGTGTTGTATAGTATTTATGGATTATATTTGCAGTAAACTGGTCAGATCGGGTGGATTGAAACCATCATGGAACTTGATTATTTGATCCCATGCCAAATGCTGGAATGAGCACCATGCATGTTGTTTCCTACTCGAACATATTCCATCGAAAAGGTAAATTTGAGATAGTGAGAGATCGAAAGTCGCTTTTTAGCGTATCCTTGTTTACAAAGAATCTAAACACTCCCACTGGCCGTAGTAGAATTTCCTCACATGATCACACCACCCAAAACAGTCTTGGAGCACGCACGCGTCTCACGTTTTGGCCATGGCCGGCGTGCCTTTTTTCCGGCCCGACCGTACGTTGCGATCGGGAACGGCGGCGGTGGAAAAGGTCACACCTGCGTCACATGGACGAACGACGACGTGGTACCCGCTCGCCGAATCGATCAAAGCCGCCAATTAGAATAGAAGAAACCGATCAGTCCCACGAGACAGGATGGCGTGTGCACCAGCATTCGTGGCTGCTGACGGATGACGTGTACCACACCAACCGAACACTCGAACGGCGAAGCTTCCCGGGTGGTGTGGCGTGCCGGGGGTTGCGTTGCGCACGCAGCATGGTCCAAACTACGTCCTGATTATCGGTCTCATTCGGTTCGCTGAAAAAACAAACCGAAACACTCTTCTGATTGATTTATTGTGAGAGAAAAATACCGTTCCGGATAAAAAAATAAGCTGAAAAGTACCGATTCGGCGTGAAAGCGTCCCGGCACGCGCTGACCGCAGCTACGTAGATAGACGGAACGAAATCGAAATGTTCTCGTCGTGATCGCGACACAGCTGGGATCTCAACTCAAAGATTTGTACTACTGTGCTCGGTACAGATGTATCATGAAGTTCCTAGCCCGAGTGTCTCGTTTTCCCCCCTCCAAACCGTGAGTAGTTGGTCGTCGTCGTCGCTAGCTACGCATGCCTAGTGCTTGGACAGGAGTACATCCCGTGACGTGTACTGCATGCTACCTAAACCTATGAAGGCCTTCTGCACTGGATGGCCAGAACGATGCCCAAATCTCTCGTTTGGGCACTTGTAAAATTCGGAGCGGAGCATGTTCTTGCTCCGATGCTAATTCTATAAAAAAATTGATTATCTTTGTATAAATAGAGAAAAGCTTATGGTATTTTTGTTGTCTTTGCTCCATACTCTGTTAAAAAATATAATTCTAAATTTTGGACAAATTAAACTTTTTTAAGTTTGACTATATTTATAGAAAATAGCACCAATATTAATATCATAAAATAGGTTTTGCTATAAAAATATATTTCATAATTAATCTAGTAGTTTTGTAAATGTTTATATATATTTTACATAAATTTAGTTAAACTTAAAATTTCTTTTTGACTCTTTGGTACTCCCCCGTTCCAAAATAAATGATGTTTTAGGTTTGTCATAATTCAAATCATTTCAAGTTTGACCAAATTTATGGGAAAATATAAATATTTATGACATCAAACAGGTAGAATATAAAAATATATTTCATAATAAATCTAACAATACTTATTTAGTATCATAAGCATTAGTAGTTTTTTTAAAAAAAATTGGTTAAACTGACTTATAACAAATCAAAAACATCGCTTGTTTTGGGAGGAAGGGAGTAACTAAGAATATTGCATTTTGAATGGAACCGAGGGAGTAAGATGCTCAAAAGGTGTCAGCGTGTAACATGCAAGTGCGTCCATCCATAGCACATTGAAATGAAACTTTGTACATAAATCTGGACGGAGGAGAGATCCGGATTCAGACTAGGACCGGCAGTCCATCCATAGCGCATTGAAAATGAAACTTTGTGCGTAAATCTGGAGAGAGGAGAGATCCGGATTCAGATTAGGACCGGCAGTCCACGTGATAGTTGAATGTTTTTCCGAGCGTGAAACTTGGGACGTAAATGGAACACAGTAATAGCAAGTGAACCAATAAATTCTTTCATCGATCTATGATGTATATTTATACACATGTATAGACGCCATGGGGAGATGCACGCAGGCAACCGTCTATAGTTGTGTTCGGCAGGACCGAAAAATAAGCAAAAATACTGTTCCGACTGATTGTTGTGAGGAAAAAATATTTTCTATCCGGGAATACTGTTCACGTGCACAGTGCCAGTATGAGTGCGCTGGCCAGCCCAACCCCAGCCGGCCAGCTAGCCGAACACAGCCTATGGCGTCGCCGGTTCGAACAAGAACGGGAGATGGGAGTCGGAGCGGTTCCCGTCATGGGAGCGTTCCCCGATGAGAGCAACTCTTTCGTAGTCGTAACACTCCTCCTTTGATCGAATCCATCTTGAGATCCATGAATAGTATTAATCCTCCAAAAAGTGCTGTAGGATAAAAACGAGGAGAAATAAAAACTCCTTCAAACCCAATGGGAAAATAAGGAGAAAGTGATTATACATTATATAATGATTATTGCCTTATTGTAAACTCATATGAGAAAACATTTGAAGGAGAAAACTCATAGATAGTTTAGAGGACAATATATGTTATTGATATCTCCTTCAAAATCTCGCTGGGAAAACAGAAAATACGACATATGCTTATCCTAATATTGCCTCATTAAAAACTTCATATGAGAAACCTTGAGAGTAAAAATTATACGAAGAAAAAAGTGCAATATGATGGTTTGGATAGGGCAACATCTAAGAGATTTCTCCCCCTGAACCTTGCAAATCTCAAAGTCGTCGCATACCAATTTCTTGAACACATTTCTGGAATGAGGAAGCTAGTAAGGACTTAGTGAACAAATCAGTGAGGTTATCACATGATTTGATTTGCAAGATGTATATTTCAGCCATTTGTTTTAACTCATGGGGATAAAACAACTTGGGAGAAATATGCTTGGTTATGTTGCTTTTGATGTAGCCTGTATCTATCTGTGTAACACAAGAAAAATTATCTTCATAGATAATGGTTGGCTAATCAATGCCACCAATACCACATGACTGTTGTATGTGGTTGATCACTCTGCGAAGCCAAACACATTCACTTGAGGCCTCATATAGTGCAATTATTTCAGAGTGATTAGTGGAGGTAGACACAAGAGTCTGTTTTAAAGACTTTCATGAAATGGTTCTCCTTCCGTGTAAGAACACAAAGCTTGTCTGGAATCGGCCATTATGGGGATCAGATAAATAGCCGACATCAGTGTATCCAATCATATTGGAGTCTGAGTTCCTTTGAAAAAATAATCGAAGATCTCTCGTACCATTTACATATATGAGGATATGTTTTACTCCCGTCAAATGATGTTTGGTAGGAGCAGCGCTATGTCGAACTAGCAAGTTCACTGCAATTGCAATATCAGGACTGGTGCAATTTGCAAGATACATGAGAGCTCCAATGGCACTGAGATATGGGTAATGAGGTCCCAGAATCTCTTCCCTATCATCCTGTGGCCTAAATGGATCAGTCTTTAGCTCTAAAGACCGAACAACCATAGTAGTTTTGGAGGGATATGATTTGTCCATATTAAATTTGTCCAATATTTTCTGGATATAGACAGATTGATGCACTAAATTTTCAATGGGAAGGTGCTCAAGTTGTAAACCTAAGCAAAATTTGGTTTGACCGAAATCCTTTCTTTTGAACTCCGTCTTTAGATGATTGCGTGCTTCATCAATATCTTGTGGGTTGCCAATGATATTTAAATCATCAACATACACTGATATTATGCAAAATTCTGTTTGGAACTTTTTGATGGAGACACATGGACAATCATCATTGTTAGTGTATCCCTTCTGCAGAAGGAACTCACTAAGTCGGTTATACCATATTCTTTGACTGCTTTAAGCCATAGAGTAACTTTTAAAGCTTTACACAGTACATGTTGCGATTTGCCTTCTAATGTGCTATAGAGATTCCATCGGTATATATATATATATATATATATATATATATATACGAATCAAGTGACCCATATAGATATGCGGTCACTATGTCCATCAACTGCATAGATAGACGATTTTGAGCAACCAAAGATATAAGACATCGGAATGTCATTCCACTCATAACTAGAGAATATGTTTCATTGAAATCAATGCCGGATCTCCTGTGTGAACCCTTGTGCTACAAGCCTCGCTTTATGTCTCACAACCTCACTGTTCTCATTCCATTTCTAGACGAAAACTCATTTGAATCCCACAGGGAAGATTCCACGAGGTATAGGTATTGCAAGAGTGAATACCTTTCTTTTGGAGAGAGGACAATTCCGCTTGAATTGCATCTTTTCATTGATTCCAGTCCGAGCGCTTTTTGCACTCTGCCATGGTCTTAGGATCTGGATCATTTTGGATGATTTCCGCAATTGCTTCAGCGAAATAGATGTCGACAATTGTAGACTTTCTGTCATATGATTCTCCAGATTCAATGTAGTTGATAAAAAATCCACGCACCATTTGTGATGTATCATTATTTTCCAATATGATT